CACGGGGAGGGTGTGGGGTTCTGTCATAGAAGGTATTTTTTTTCAAAAACAACAAATGTTATTTGGTGTAAACAAAGGATAGATGCCCAGCACCAGGTTACAGTGGTGACACTATTTAGTTTGTCTAACTTCAAGACTAATTAACAATGATAGTTCATGTTGTTGACCTATATGAACCTTCAATAAGTGCTGATATAAATATTTGATTTGATTTGATTCGATTTGATTTGATAACAAATAACAACTTCACCTTCACACAGATCAATATTAAATCTTCCAGAGTTCTGAGCGAGGTCGGGACAGTTTTCTCCACCATTCTGTTTTTTTGGGGTCTGCACAGTCTCTGTATCTGTTGATGAAGCCTTTATTGCAAGCTGCTGAGCACTCACCCCATTCAATTAAACCATGACGTGCCATCACCATTTACTGAATAACAATACAAAAATACAATGACAATTATTCACTCACCTGTTTGACTCATTGACTGCCTCAAACTACATATTATTTTAAACATGCAATTCAACTTCAGAATATATCAAGAAATACCTGCACATTCTGACACTGCTATTTTCTGTCTATTTCAGGTCCCATGCACTCTCTGCCACCATTGGCAGGAGACAGATTGTCACATGTTCTACTTCTGACTTGCTCTGCTGTTTCACCACATGTGCGATCACACTCGCCCCAGGGTGACCATGAACTCCAGTTTCCATGCTCTTGGAATATAATCAGTATAATAATAATAATTGGTATTTGTTATTTGACAACAATGAAACAGTTAGGAATCTCAGTTCAGATTAAAATAACTTGATCATTTAACAAAGAAATAACGAGCCATGCATGGCACAGTCCCAGTTAGTTGGATACTTGTCCATGATGATTCATTTCATGTTTCATATCTCTGTACATGAGCCTGGACATATGAAATTCAGTTTGGATACAAAAAATACAAGAATAGCATATTTCTGACGATGTATTACGATTTTGGAAGAGTCATTTAATACATCTAATTTCTGTAATAAATTGGACAGACTAAGGACAGTTTGAGTCCATCATTTCAACTTGGTATCCGGTGTGTCAGAGTACCAGCGTTTCTCTGCAAGCACGACTCCTGTATTTCTTCGCCATTGACTGTCGTCCATTATTACATCCTGGAATTGCGAGTTATCACCAATGCACACTTCCCTGAGCAATCCCCTATTTTAGTGACTTTATTCATTGTATTTTTCTGTGCTTTATTTCTTGTAATTATTTTGAGAGGTATTAAAGCCAGAAGCTTTAACTCGATATTTTGGTGTATGCGTATTTCATTTCCAGTACTATTGTCTTGTCTACCCCATTCTAGCAGTGAAAGAACCCCTGTCCAGTGCGAGTTCTGTGGGTGGCCCTCTCATTAGCGATAAGCAGGCCTTACACTGTGACATATGGTCAAAAAGCAAGATGGACGTCAGTCGGTCATCTTTGATCTGATTATAAAACAAACCGACATGGACATGTATTGCAATATGTATGATGTATGTGCCAAATATGATTAAAAATTTTCCCTAAGCCTTGGAGATATAGTAGTAGTATGGTTAAAGAGCAAGTCTGCCATCTTTGATCTCATTGTAAAACAAACATGTCATGAACATATAATCTAAAATGTACAATGAATGTACCAAATTTGAACAAAAACTGGAAAAACATGCATAAGATACCACATTTTGAAAAAAAATGGCTGTCAGTCGGCTATCTTTGATCCAATCATGTGCGAATCTTCATAGACATGTATCCTAACATGCCAGCCAGCCAGCCATCTTGGATTGAATCAGTAAACTACTGCATGTGTCCCAGATAAATTAAATACTAGGCAAATGCAAACAATGAAATGATTTGGTACATATTGTTCTGAAATATGACTCCATGCAGACGGGACTAATAATATGTATTTTTCTAAACTAAAATGATCAGCTGTTTTGAAAAAAAAATACTTACATTCATCAGAATTCTTATATTTGTCTACATCATCAAGATGCCACTACGAATTGGACACTGTTGTCTATCTTTTATTCTTTCTTCCATTGTTACTAAAATAGAATATATCAAGACAAATAAATACAAATGATTACATTCTAATGATTACATAACACATCATAGTGCTGGTGAATGACATTGAACATGTATATTGCTGGCTTCCTCAGCATGTAAACATTATTTCCATACTTGTGAGGCTTCAAAATAAA